ACAAACATCCAGCCATTTTTTTTCCAGGCTATCACAGTAATTCCAACAGCCCAACGGCAATTCTGGTATATCAAGTAGAACTTCAGTAACTTGTCTTTTAGAAATAGGCAAATAATGTTTCCAAATAATATTCTATCTTCTATTTCAACATGTAGAGCTCTTGGCTAGCTGATTATTTTTCTTTCCCTGTCTTGAAGAGCGAAAAATCCCTGGAATAGAATCTGATTGGCTTCTCAGTCATAACTGTTTGTCTTAAATAGTGATCTATCACATCATATCTTCTGGATATATTTAGCTACACATTCATTTCTTGCTCAATTAACTGAGACCAGATTGAGAGGGCCTTAAATTGACTAATTCCTGTAAAAAAAATCAGAAATGAATATGGCCATGGGAATAATAAAGCAGTTTCCTAGATGGGAATAAGTAGAGTTACTTGTAGACACCTCACTTACATATCCTGTACATCAGGATTTCCTTGTAAGATGGGTGCAGTTTGATCACATTAGGGATTATCATTTAATAATGTATCCTTAGAATCACTAATAATGTATCCTTAGAATCACTAAGAGGTAGCTAAAATCCTTAGAGCAACATGAAGGTATTTGATGGGCCAAAAATCCTCAACCAAACAGCCTATACTCACCTATGAGTATGGTTTTTAATTTTAAAAGCCTCTTAAAATAGGTTTATTTCTCTCTCTAATCTATCTACATGGCTTCTGTATTTTAACATAAGTGTTATAACAAAAATGAAAACTAATGTGTGGCTTTCTCTTTTGACAGAGTGACAGAGCCTTGCTCTATCACCCAGGCTGTGGTGCAGTGGTCAGATCAGGGCTCACTGCAACCTCCACCTCCCAGGTTCAAGCTCTTGGCTCAGCTTCCCAAGTAGCTGGAACTATAGGCATGTGCCACAATGACCAGCTAATTTCTGTATTTTTTAGTAGAGATGGGGTTTCACTATATATTGGCCAGCCTGGTCTCAAACTCCTGACCTCAGTTGTTCCACCCTTCTCAGTCTCCTAAAGTGCTGGGATTGTAGGTGTGAGCCACTGGTCCCAGCCATTTGTGGCTTTTTTGTACATTTTGTGACAATACTTGATGCCACATCCCCAACATCAGCAAAAAAAATTTCTAGGCAGAGAAGGTCTAAGAAAAGAAGCAGGAAGCCCTTTGCAGTATAGCCTCTACAGGTTCACAAAGGTAAACCTCTGAGTCATGATCTCCAAGTTCAGTGGGGTGAGTATCAATATCTATTCTGTTACATATATTAATTCACCATATACACAGAGCTACTCAAATTGAAATAAAAGGGGTTTGGGGACAAGTACCTATTACAACAGAAAAAATTTACATAAGCTATCTACAACAGAGTGTTTTCTAAATTTATTAATTTAATTTTTTTACTTGAAAAGCAGGTACTACGTAGCTGGGGACTTTTTTTTTTAGTAATTAACTAAATTACTTTTTAGGTTATCAGAGTTTGAAAGTAAATAAAATAAAAGAGAAAAACTAAGATAAACAAAGGAATGATTTATATAAGAACCTGAATATAATTCTGGTAGCAGAAGTTGAAAAATAATTGGCTTCTCCAGCAATATTCAGGAAAAAATTGATAAAAGATAAGCAAGATGCTATGAGAAAAATACCTATTAGGTATTTTTATATAAATTATATATATTAAAATATATGTAAGACAAATTATATAAATTAAAGATATAAACTTTGAAATTTAAAAAATATTAAAAGAGCTGGATTAGAAAATTCATAAAAACTTGCAAAACATAAAAATTGCAAAGCTAAAATATATGAAGAATAAGTTGACTGATAATAAACAAGCTATGTGGTACAAAATCATTATGCTGTAGTTCTCGAAAGACAAATAATGTATAGATGGAAGTAAGTATAGATAGTTAAATAATATTTTTAAAAGCAATCTTTTCTCGCCCATTAAACTAGCAAAAATCACAGTAGAATGGCTCATTCTCTTTAGCGGTCAGGCACTCTTATACATTGCTGATGGAAATGACAACTATCCGTCTGAAGAGAAATTTGGAAATATATAAGAAAACATTTGACCTAGCAATAGTAATGCTAGGAATTTGCTGTGAAGATATATTTTTAATATAAAAATACATACACACAAAGTTACTTACTGATATATTATTTGTAATTGCAAAGTGCTGGAAACAATCTGAATACTCATACAGAGGAGAGTAGTGAAATCTGTTAAAAAACCATTTAGGCAGTCTATCCTTCTGAACTAATATGATGATTTTTGAAGTACATTATTAAATAAAGAAAAGCAATATACAAAAATTGCCTATAGTATGTGATCTTTTGTGTAAGAAGGAAGAAGAAAAAGAAAATATGGGGTATGTTTTTTTTTTTATTTTTCTGGAGAGGAGAAAAGGAGGAAAAGAAGGAAGAAATGAAGGAAGAAGAAAATATAATAAGGAGAGGAAAGAAAACTAATGAGACTGTTGGTCTCAGGAGTAGAAGTGGTAGGATGATGGGAAAAGGAAATAAAATAGATGATGGAAAATGACATTTAAAAAGTGACTTTTTGTGTATTTATGCTTTTTAGAATCACATAATGTTTCACAAATTTAAATTTCAAAATATAACTAAACAATTATAACTAAGCAACTTGTGAGGGGCATCTTATTTGCCAGGGCTGCTACCAAAAATAAATCACACACTGGTCGCTTAAACACAGAAGCTTATTTTCTCATAGTTCTGGAGGCTGGAAGTACAAGATCAAGATGCTAGTGGGCTTGGTTTGTTCAGAGATCTCTTTCTTTGGTTTGCAGACAGCTGTCTTTTCACTGTGTACTCATACAGGCTTTTCTGTGTGCAGATGCTTCCCTGGTACCTTTATGTGTGTCCAAATTTTACCTTCTTAAAAAGGCACCAGTCAAATTTAATTAGGGCCCACCTTAGTGATCTAAATGTACCTTTGAAATCTCTTAAAGGTCCTATCTTCAAATATAACAAAATTCTTAGGTGCTGAGAATTAGAGCTTCAACATATACATCTGGGGGGGAGGGGTACACAATTTAACCGACAATAGGACTCACATTGATATAAATTAAAATGAATAACATATTGAAAAAGTTAATAAATATCATAATTGCAATAAAAAAGATGGGAAAGAAAAGCATAAACAATTTTTGGGTCAGGCAAGGTGGCTCACACCTGTAATCCTCATATATTCAGAGGCCGAGATGATGAGTTGAGTCCAAGAATTTGAGACCAGACTGGGAAACATAGTGAAACCCTGTCTCCAGCAAAAATACAAAAATTAGCTGGGGGTGGTGGTGAGCACCTGTAGTCCTGCTACATGGGAAAACTGAGGTGGGAGGATGGTTTGGGCCAGGGAGGCAGAGGTTGCAGTGAGCTGAGGTTGTGTCATTGCATTCCTGCCTGGGTGACACAGCCAGATTCTGCCTCAAAAATCAAAATATAGCCTAGGCACAGTGGTTCATGCCTGTAATCCCAGCACTTTCGGATGCTGAGGCGGGCAGATCACGAGGTTAAAAGATTGAGACCATCCTGGCTGATACAGTGAAACCCCGTCTCTACTAAAAGTACAAAAAAATTAGCTGGGCCTGGTGGCACTTGCCTGTAGTCTCAGCTGCTTGGGAGGCTGAGGCAGGAGAATTGCTGAACTCAGGAGGCAGAAGTCACAGTGAACGAGATGGTGTCATTGCACACCAGCCTGGGCGACAGAGTGAGACTCCATCTAAAAAATATATATATATCATATATATATGACTAACAATAATACTCTAAGATTCTAAGACTAACAAAAATACTGTACACAAATGCGGGATTCTGATGCATAACTTGTTTTTATAAAAGTATGTGTTAGAAATGCCCCAAATTATTTTGTACCTTTTCTAGAATTGAGAAAATTCTAGAAATTCCCTTTTTCAACGATAGTGGGAGCCAGGTTTCTCACCTTAAGAGAAAGGAGCCACAAATAAACAGAGGAGGCTAGAATAAATCTTGTAGATTGGATTGGCATTTGAGTTATTAGTATAAACTCATGAAGAGACAGATTGACATAGAAATAGATATAAATGTATTTACACATATGAATGCATATACTGTATTTCTTTAGCATCACGTTACTCATAAAGAATATCATGTCTTTGGAAAGAATGAAAAAGTATTCACCACCAAAGAAAAAAGTATGACCTAGAAGTGAGCAAAAAAAAAAAAAAAATGATTAGCTTTTAAGAGATGTGAATAGAGTAGGACACTTGACAATTTACTTTGAAATAAATCTGGAAGTCATAATTATCAACCCAATAAGTTTGAAGTCTATGTGGTTGATATCCAGAAGAATGTAATACTTAAAAATAAAGAAATAAAAATGTGACTTAATACCCAAAATGTATTTTTGTTGTAAAAATCAGCATAAAAAATCTAACATAATTTTTAAAGCAAGGAAAATGTAGTGATTACAAAATAATATTTCCTGTTGTCAATATCAAAAGTATGTCAAAATTTGAAAATGTAAGTATGCTGTATATGACAATTTTTTTAATTGATAAGCCTTTCAAAGCATCTCATTTGAAAAAAAATTAAATCAAAACACTTGAAAACTTAATTCAGTGCAATTTTAGATCCCATTTCTCTTTCTCCTCAGGGTGACATCTGTGTTCTGAAAAGGTTATCCAATGCCAGATTTTTTTAGATGGGGGCAGGATTAAGCATCTGGTCTTCAATTTTTGGTGCTCCAAGGTTAATTTAATAGTGTTTCTTATGCTTGTAACACTTTGGAAAAGACAAAACAAGTCTTTGCTCATATTCTGGTAATTAAAATCACAAAAGCCCAAAATATAGACTGGGGTATGTAACATAATAAGCCCCTGGAAACAAATCAGGCCAATTATCAGACCAAATTTACTGCCAGCAAGCAATCAAAAAGCCTTAGCTCTACCAGCTCTCAGAAATTTGCTTTTTCTAATTTTCTATCAAATATTGTAGCTGTTTAAATTACTAACCATTTTTGACAGATTAGGTTGGCATGCCCATTTATTAATAAAGAAGATGGAATACATGGTTTTGCAGAATTCGTAGCTGAATCAGAGAAAAATTGCTTATAAAAAACAAAATCCTGAAGATAAAAGAGTAGAGTACTAGAAAAATTGTTTGAGTCAATGTCCAAACTTCTGGGAAGAAGGGTTAAGTGTCAGTTTTGCAAAGAGCTAAAATAGGTACTGCATTACAGGAAAGAGCTTCAGTGGTTCTGTTCTGGAAGAATGAGAAGGGAGTACTGTGGATAAAAAATAAATGAGTTGTATCAGAGAAGTGTTTTTGAGAATGACTTTTACATCCTGATGAGAGTATATTGTATTGATAGCTTTCGTCATTTTTATCCCAGTTGACATTTCTATGATGATATCACCTCCTACTCATGTGTTTTTCCTGCTTTTAGCCTTTCTATGGAGATTCTCCTGTGTTTTTATTACTGTTAGGGAAATTCCAATGAGAGACTTTTTTCCATCTTTGTTAATATGCATGAATTTGAAAATAGCTGCTGTTTAACTGATGGTGATAATGTGAGCTGACGTTAATCAATTGAGGTTATGGCTCTTATGTCTGGGGGCTAAGCAGCCTGACACTTGTGAGTTATCTGGTGTGAAATAATTATTTTCTCAGAAGATCGTATCATTGCTGATCAAGTATGAACTCTAACCAAGGTAAATCTACCCTATTTCTGTTTATTTCTTCCAGCTGATATTCTGGCTGTTGGCATAATAAGAAACATACTATGTACAATGATGTACAACTTTGTAACAGATTTTTTTTCATTTTTTGAAACCCTCTTTTTGATTTTACTATCTTCAGTTTCCCTAAACACTTACAAATAGAAATTTTATTTCTTTACCTGAGCTGCAAAACCCAGCATGTGTTCATATTTCACTGAGGAATACCTAACAAACCCCAGGATCTGCAAGTGTAATTTGCCAAGTTGGCACCTTATTTTTCCCCCGTTAGCATTTTCTTCAGCTTCTGCAATATTTAGGTTTATAGAAATGTATTTACTATCTAAACTCTATAGTACATGCACCAGAAATGTTTTGTTTCTCTCTTTCATGTTTTTAAAAATATGTTATTAAAAAGAGTGATGGTTTAACTATAACACTGAGTCAGAGGTTTCTGTGCTTAAGTTTTCTGAAATGATCCAAGTCAGCATTTTTAAAAGTAGAAATATTTACACCTTGTGAAATACAATTTGATAAAAGACATGCTGATATAATAGAAGTTAATGCAGCTTCCTATGGTGCTGAACTTATTCAAAGGAAGGATCTTATACACAAGGAGAATCTCACCCAACAATCCCATATTTAAGGTTAATAGAATAAGCTGTACTAGAATCTGAGGAAGAAAACAAATAAAAAATCACATAGGTTGGCTAAGTCGTGCTTTCTGATCCTGAAGTGTTTAAAGTGGTAACTAGTGACAAAACTAGTGGTAACTAGTGCACCGTAGAAGAACTGCTGACAGAGAGACAATCTTTTATCATCAAAACAAAGGTTAAATAAAGATTAAACTCAGAGCAGCAGCAAAAGCTCTGGAGACTTCGGGTAGGAAAGATGTCCAGATGTTCTTCCTATCATTTCAGCTGGCATGTGAGCAAAGGCGAGTAAGGTCAAGTGGGTAGGAGGCTAGTAGTAGAGAAGATGATGGCATGATCATCAGTTATTCCTGTAGCATCTGAGAGTAGAACTGCTTCTGCTAGCACGTTAATTAACAATTCCCTCTACATATTTCAGAGACTTATTGTGGGATTCTCCTTATGTTCATCTGATCCCAATAGTGCCCTGTTTATTTACCCTACCTCTATATGATAGTTTTAGATATATTCAGACCAAAACAATGTGGATTTCAAACAGAATTATGGTAAAGTTGATTTCATGATTTTCATATGTACATGTATTAAGTTGATACAAAAGTAATTGTAGTTTTTGCCATTTAGCTGCAAAAACTGCAATTACTTTTGTATCAACCTATAATTTGGCAATATGGGTGCTATTATATTATACAATAATCTAAGAATATAATATTAATAATAAATATTCAGATGAAGCAAGGATTCTAAGACTTTTCCTGATGAACAGTTTTTATTTTCCCACTCAACATATCAAAGTGTTATTGATTCAGAAACACTTGCATTCTGGCCTAGGTCCTTCTCTTGGTGAGCTCAGATTCAGTACTAATTAAAGGGCCATGGTAGATAAGGAAATAATGTGGGTTTTTTTGTTATTAATTTGTGCAATATTTTGTAGTCTGTTTTTTGTTTTGTTTTGTTTTCTGGTCAAGTCACCCTCAGGAACAATTATCAGTTTGACTGACAAGCAAATGGGAAATTAGCACTACTGTATTTTTGTTTCTGTGTTCTCAAATTTACAGGCAATTTCTTCAAACTTTATGTCAACTCGGACAGTCCATTTTGGGGAAATATGATTCCAAATCCAATATATTTTGAGTTTCTGAAACTCCACTCAACAATTTTAATTCAAAATTATTTTGGACTGAAAAATACTCACCACTGATTCCTCAATTACATTATATTTATAGGTGATGTTTCTCCATTCATGATTGCTCCAAAGGGGTAGAGCTTGGGTGACAATGTTTGAACAGGTGATCTTGCCGTTTGGCCTGCACTTAATAAAACCAGAGATGAACTCCAGCTGATTTAGTCAAGTGTGTGTGTGTGTGAGAGAGAGAGAGAGAGAGACAGAGAGAGAGAGAATTGAGATACTTAAAAAGTGTGTCAGCTTACATATGATTGAGGTGATATTTGGAGCCATGACAAACCAAAACTATACCCAAATTGAGATTAGAAGAGAAGAGAAACTAAAAGCTGGCCCATACATTGCAGAAGAGAAAATTTGCAGAGATGCGGATAATAGAGACTACCGACAGAGGAAGCACATGTGCACCCAAACACAATGTGAATAAAAGAACACAGAGAGGGGCATGAGGAGGAAGAGAGAGGCAGTGGAAGCTGGAAAAACAAGAGTTTACAGACAAAGAGAGACAAAAACTGAGACAGCTGTTAGAGAGAGAGAGAGAGAGAGAGAGAGACAGAGACAGAGACAGAGACAGAGACAGAGAGACAGAGAGAATTCAGAACAGAGAAAGGTGAAAAGAGGAGGATAAAGTAAATAGTAAATTATATTCTTACCTCTCCGAATAAGACCTTTAGTAGCTTCAATCCTATCAGATGACATTCCTGTCTTCCTCCTTTCAGATACCTAACCTAAGTGTCAACCCTCCAGGAATGCTCCAAACTTCCAGCTTCTGAGGTTCCTCTTCCTCAGAGTATGAAAACACACTACCTCAGCGGGGTGCAATAATGACAAAAGCTTCCATGTCACATGCTAGGAGAAAAACTGTGAAAATGTCAATTAACTTGAGATTTTTTGAATGTTTTATTTTTCTCAGGTACTGCTTCAGGTCTGCTGAATTCTTCATTTCATCTTACCTCTGGTTTCTTCAACCTTCTTTCTTTAACCCATGTTGCTGTAAGCATAAAATACAGGCTCTTTCTGTTTGTTTTTCAATTTAGCCAAAGCAATGTAACACAAGGGATTGTTGAAATGATTAGAGATTACAGCATAAAGCAATGCAGGCTACATTTTACAACTGAATAAACAGACAACTAAGTGGCCATTTTCCTCAGACTTATTTTTACAGTCTGGATTTCATTCTTAACAATGATATCTCCAAACTTCTCACTATAATTTTGAGTCCTTCTTTTTTCACCAAGACTACACAGTTTTCGCTCTCATTTTCCCTAGGCTATAACACTTCATTCTCTAGGCTACTCCCAGAAGACTTCAAATATCCCCATTTATTTTGAAGAAGAAGGCATTTCGATAACTTGTACCTAGTACAACTTAAAGTCACCACTTATAATATGCCTGTAAGGGCAACTTCTGCAGTACCCATTATTATTATTTTCTGACCCTTAATTCATCCAGAGTATCAATCTCTTTGCTCTCAGTGCTGTCAATTATAAATCCCCCTTCAAAGATTTTCCCAAAAAGCCTAGCAGAAAAATATAATTATAACGTCTATTAGTAAGAGTGTAACCTCATAATTCCTAAAAAGTGGAACCTCAATAATTCACATATTTGTTAATGTGACTCTTGCTAGAGTTAAAAAAATAATAATTTTGAGGAACACACACCTCTTTCAAGATGGGTAGCAACATAATACTGGAAGTATATACATATTTTAATACAGATATTTGAAAAAATAAATTGACTTATTTGAGAATATCCATGAATAAATATATACAGTTAAACAAGAGACAATGGTTTCTAATTAGATTCTCTATGTGAATACTGATAAGAATGAGTATGGACAGAAATCTGCTTATAGTATTTTTATTGATTTCTCCCTGACTTAGTTATGTTTACACATTGGTTATTACATTATGCTGTTTGTATCAAAAATTAGTGACTTTAAAAGTTGTAACCACACATAGATTGCATAGGATTATCTCATAATTACTGTAATATCCTTAATATGAATACATTATATATTTTAGAAAAGTTAAGTTTATAACTGCCAGGACACTTAAGAATGCACAATCTTAAAATTTATTGCTTTCTGCCAAAAAAAGTATCTGTTTTTTTCCCCAGAGTAAATTGTTGTATCTAAGCTTTTTAAAAAGACAGTATGTAAGAAAATTTCCATCATTCTTGAATCTACCAATATTTCATTTTGAAAACTCTATCTGAATTTACACATTTGATACATGAGTAATTACACTTCCATGTCAGAAACACCAAGTAAATGTGGCATGGCTTCATCCCTCAGTGACATGGAAACATTGGTCATTGAGTTGAAACCCTTTGATTCCGACAACTGTGATATCAAGAATCTTGTTCATGGTATCTCAAGTCAGAAGACAGCTTTCTTTTCTCTCTCTCTCTCTCTCTCTCTCTCTCTCTCTCTCTTTAACTGGCATTTGGAAATATTGGAGATGTAAAGCTACAGGGAGAAATGTTGGACTTGACTGAATATGTCATTTCAAAAAATTTTTACATGAACTCAAATGAATCCAGGTTTCAAAATTAACACTAAATGGTGACAATAATACCAAATTTTTATTTTTGGATCAACACTTTGTTTTTTCTACCTTCAGGTGCATATATATTTTATAATTTTAGTTAACAATTTTAATTTTACTTCCAGATGCTCAGAAGCAGCATTTAAATTATAATAATACACTTCCTCTATACACAGAGATAATATCAAATTATGATAAAAAAATTAAGGTTTTGCTTTCTATGCAAACATTGCATAATATATTTTTATGGCATAACTGTCCACTAAATTTTGTATACTATTTTTCAGACAGCTTACTTGCTGACTAGTTTGCTTTTTTTTTTTTTTTTTGGTTTATTTTCTTGCTTTCCTTAGCTACTTCTCATGATTCTGTTGATGTAATCTAAAATTTGAGCATTTCAAATGTTACTTATCTTTCTCTTCACCCCTGAACCCACTCTTCACCCCCAAACACATGACCCTATAGATATTTCTAGAAATCATAAACACCCAAAATTACAATTTTTAATTATATTTTAAGTTCTGGCATACATGTGCAGTACATGCAGGTTTGATACATAGTATACATGTGCCATGGTGGTTTGCTGCACCCATCAACCTGTCATCTACATTTCCTATTTCTCCTAATGCTATTTCCATGCCCTGCTTTCACCCCATGACAGGCCCTAATGTGTGATGTTCCCCTCTCTGTGTCCATGTGTTCTCATTGTTCAACACCCACTTATGAGTGACAACATGCAGTGTGTGGCTTTCTGTTCCTGTGTTAATTTGCTGAGCATGATGGTTTCCAACTTTATCCATGTCCCTGCAAAGGACATGAACTCATCCTTTTTATGGCTGTATAGCATTCCATTGTGGATTGTGCCACATTTCCTTTATCTAGTCTATCATCGATGGGCATTTGGATTGGTTCCAAGTGTTTGCTATTTTAAACAGTGCCACAATAAACGTGTGTATGTGTCTTTATAATAGAGTGATTTATAATCCTTTGGGTATGTACCCAGTAATGGGATTGCTGGGTCAAATGGTACTTCTATTTCTAGATCTTTGAGGAATCACCACACTGCCTTCCACAATGTTGGAACAGTTTAAAAGCATTTTTACAGTTTAAAACTGCCAACAGTTTAAAAGCATTACTATTTCTGTACATCATCTCCAACATCTGTTGTGTCCTGACTTTTTAATGATTGCTATTCTAACCAGTGTGAGATGATATCTCATTGTGGTTTTGATTTGCATCTATGACCAGTGGATGATGAGCATTTTTACATATGTCTGTTGGCTGCATATTTCTAATTCCCTTATTATATTAAGCAATAAAACATAACATACACTTATTACGTCAATAACAGAAATTAACATTTTAAAACATTAAAATATAATTAATGGACATTGTAAAGTGATTTTAGTAATTTGAACCATAATTTTATATCTGAAGATATGAAGATTAATAGGATGAAATATAAAATAATCAATGGTCTGAATGAATGTTACTATAAAATAGCCATAGAACACAGGTGATTTCACAAAGCTGGCACAATGTTCCTTCTTTTGACTTTCTGACCAATTAGAAGTACCAGCAAAGGATGACGTACATATAATGGATTCTGCCTTAAAGAATAATTACTTTTAGGCATTTTTAATGAATATAACATTCTTTAAAATTACAGAGTATAAATCCAAGGCCAATATAATTTCACACATGTTCTATTTAATTAGCAGACCATAACTGCTGAAGATGTCATTTGCCAAATTAAATTCTGACATTCACTTCCCCTCTTTGTATTAATATATGATAAAGGAGCCATTAAATTCTACAGGGATATTTTTCATTGATTTGAATATTTATATCAGCCTTACCCTTTCTGTCTATAAGTCTGCTTAGATATGCTGAAAATAATTCTGACCATGGCCAGTTAATGCCAATCCCCTTATATTTGTCTTTATAGAAAGAAACAGCTTTAACATATTCAAATTAAAATTTACTCAAAATAATGTTTACTTTGGTGGCCAGTTCTCCACCTGAAATGTCATGGAGTAAGTCTAAGATTTTAATTCTTTTGTCTAAAATCCCAATCATAGTCATTCAAATTTTCATGATATGCACATGCTCTTATTACATGATTAATGTTTTTTCAACTTTTACAAAAGTTTTGCCTGTTACTCAGTGAGTGTTCTTATGCCTGGTAGGTTCCTTTATAATTCTCACAGCATGTGCTCTATTTATTTAAATCATCTTTGTGTAATAATTTTAAATACACTAAAGACATTCCATCTTCCGCTTTCATTAAACTATTATCTGGCTAGGAACCAATATTTTTTTAACAATCATTCCTCCAATTGTGTCCTGGCAATAATTATTTCTACTTTGTTAAATGTTCTCCCTTGGTCTCTTTGCCAAAGAGAAATGCACATTTTATCATTTCACAGGAGGCTTTATTTCAGTGATAACAGGCAAATAACAAGAAAAGTTTGCTGATATATGAATGCAGGGTGCTGGAATAAGTTGACTCACAAAAAGAATACTCAAGCTCACTTCTCAAACATACATTCTTGCTTTGTGAGCTACTGAACATGCAGCTAGACAAAATGTAAAACTTTTATGTTATATAAATATGCTTTCTTTCCTTAAAAAATGAAACAAATGTGAAAGGCATGTCACATTTTTAGCATATACCTCATGTTTGATTTGATTTCTAATTTTATATTTGAGCATATATAAAGAAAATAACCACTTAAGACAGAATTTTCTGATTTCTAATTTACTTATTATGCCAAAAGAAAATTTCTCACTCTCTTCCACAAATTGGGACTATATCTGAAAAAAATAATTACTATTAAGATCCCAGTGATCTATCACTTGTTCATGCTTTAGTTATCATTTATTTTTTTTAGCTACTGTGACTCATTAGCCACTAATTTCTGCTGTTTCAAGTGGCACTTAAATAATCTGGTTCAATGTAATCTCCATAATCCTGTCTCTTCTTAAATTTAATTCAGTTCAATTTTTGGAAAAGCCATGTTATGTGATTCATATTACAGCCATCCCTTAGTAGCTATGAGGGATTTATTCCAGACCACCCTTCTCCACAACCCTGCAGATACAAAAATCTGTGGACTGTCAAATCCCTTGTATAGAATGGCAAAGAATTTGACTATAACTTGCACATCTTCTCCCATATACTTCAAATCATCTCTAAGTTACTTATAATATCTAGTAGAATGTAAATGTTAGGTAAATACTTGTTGCACTGTATATTTTATTTGTGCTTTTATATTGTATTTTTTTTCAAAATATTTCTTATCTGCAGCTGGTTGAAATCCTAAATGCAGAACCCGTGGATATTAAAGGCCAAATATATATCAAAATTGAATTTTAAATAAATTTGTATTTTATAGTTTTTAATAGTGTAAGCAAGATTTAAATCAATTTTCTCAACACATAGTATGAAAATTTTAAGCTACACATATCAATAGTAAATAATATTTTAAAGAATTTTTACTGTTTTGTTTTAATTTAAAAAGAAATAGATGAGCTGAACTAATACAGTATTATAAACACCATGGAGTACAACTGCTGTTAAGGAATTCAGATTCAGTTATTTTTTTTAAGCTCCTTTTTGGTAGTAGAATGAGATCTTTGTAATTGGGCAGATGTCACTGAGGTAGAAAAATGAAGCAAACTTTTAATTCTGCAAAAAGATTGTGATTTCACAAGCATATCAAACTGTAGCATTGATATGATTCCCAAGGACTATTGCCAGAGCCACCAATGTCATAGTTTTTTCAGTAATCTAAGAGAACTGATTGTCTAAAGAACCCATCCTACAGAGGGAAAAAGGTAAAGACTGAAAAAAATTAACATGGAAGCTACCTTCTTATTATTCTAATAAGGAAACTATGCTGATATAGTTTGAATATTGTCCTGCCAATTAGCATGTGGAATTGCAATCCCCAATGTTAAAAGTGAGGCCTGGTGGGAAGCGTTGGGTGATGGGAATGGATCCCTCATGGTTTGGTGTTGTCCTTGAGACAATGAGATATTGTGAGATCTGGATGTTTAGGCACCACCTTTGCTCAATTCTAATTCTCATTGCTACTCTTGCCGTGTAACATTCTTGATCCCTTTTGGACTTCCCTCATGAGGACAAGCTGCCAGAGGCTACCCAGAAGCTGAGCAGATGCCAGTACCATCCTTCCTAGGCAGCCTGTAGAACAGTAAGCCAATCTCTTTTCATTACACATTACCCGGTCTCAGATAATTCTTATAGCCTGTAAGAATGGCCTAACACATCCTCAGCAGTCTGACACAAGAACAGAAAATGAAACACCGCATATTCTCACTCATAGGCGGGTGATGAAAAATGAGAACACATGGACACAGGGAGGGGAGTACTAAACACTGGGGTCTATTGGGGGGAAAAGGGGAGGGTCAGTGGGAGGGGGAGGTGGGGAGGGATAGCCGGGGGAGAAATGCCAAATATGGGTGAAGGGGAGAAGGAAAGAAAAGCACACTGCCATGTGTGTTCCTACGCAACTGTCTTGCATGCTCTGCTCATGTACCCCAAAACCTAAAATCCAAAAAAAATTAAAAAAAAAAAAGAATGGCCTAACACACATGCACTCATAAGAGTGCAAGATATTCAATAAATAAAGTTGAATGTGAATTAAAATGTGGAACTTTCTAATGAGCTAACTTTCCAGAACACTTCAATACTGGTTAAATTGGGGTAGGGTTGGGAACAGGGAAGGAATCTGTCTTGAAAACCCAAAGTCTTCAAAGTCTGTCTTTGAAAGCCCAAAGGCTTTTCTCTTGTGATGTGAAGCAGATTCCACAGTCCACTTCTAATACCAAAACCCTTCTATCATAAAGAAGTCTTCAGGATTTTTGTTACTTCTTCCTCTAAAATAGTTTTTAGACTATTTTACAACTACTTCTTAAACATAGCAAATTAATAGACTTGGGCTATTTCAGAAAAAAAATGGTACCATTTTACATTTGCCTTGCAATACATTCATCTTTTAGGATTTAAATGATTATATTAAACTTATTATTTGTTTAGAATGGAGTCCAAAATATTGTTGGAAATCAATTCTACTTTTAATATATCTTTTATATTTCCTAGTAGAGTGGGTGAGATAATTTTTAAAATCTGTTTTTAAATTTTTCCAGCTTCATTGAGGTAAAATTAACAAATAGCAACTGCATATTCTTAAAGTGCACAACTTGATATTTTGATATATGTACACATTTTGAAATAATCAGCTCAATCAAGCAAATGAACAATATACATCACCTCACATAGCTGCCATTTTCTTTCTCTCTCTTCCTTTCTTTTACTGTGGTGGTGAAAATATTTTAGATCCAGTGTCTTAGCAAATTTCAAGTATAGAACACTTCACTGGTAATCATGATCTTCATGTCGTACATTAAATTTCCAGAACTCATTCGACTTGCATAACTGGAACTTTGTACCATCTGATCAACATCTCCCCATTTCCCCTTGGTTCCTACTTCTTCTGACAACCACCATTCTACTTTATGCTTCTGCGTGTTTGACTATTTTAGATTCCATATATGAGTGACATCATGCAGTATTTGTCTTTCTGTGCCTGGCTTATTTCACTGAGCATAATTCACATGGATGAATCCAGAGGATATTATGCTGGGTGATGTCATCTTTTATAAACCCAAATTCAGTAGTCTCACATAGTAACTGGTAAGTGAGAAACCATAACAATGTTTTACTTTTTGGTAGAATGTTTTACCAAAGGTTGTTTGAGAGATCCTCACCATCATATAAGTTTTAAGAAATGTATTTATTTTTACAGTTTTTAATAAGATATAAATTATCAATTCAGCAATATAAATTAAGTAATACAAATATCTCAAAATTCAAGTCTTATAGCAAAGTAGATCTTTAATATGTATCAATTTTTATAGTGATTAAAATATCCATTTCATATAATATTTCTGTAATTTACAAAAGGTATTTTCTTCTGCCATGATCAATTCCTTATTCTAATTCTACTCTACGTACAGATATTATTTTCACAATTCTATATGAACTAGATTTCTTACTATATGCTTAATTTAAGCCTTTCAAAGTATACTTTAGGAATCCATTTTTAACTTTGATTCTTTTATGTGAGTTAGAACCATCTGAGGGGCTTTTGAAAAAATACTGACTCCGAGGCACTTTCCCAGACAAAAATTCAGAGTCTGCCAGTGTGTCCAGGCATTATCAGTTTTTAAACCCCTCGGGTAGTTCTAATATGTACCTAGTCTTGAGAGTCACTGCCACAGAACAATACTAATCAACACTTAACATGCAAAGAAATTACATGGGAATTTTGTTTAAAAGCAGGTTGTGATTTAGTAGGTCTAGGGTTGAGCCAGAGAGTTTGCATTTTCTTTTTTTTTTTTTAATTGTACTTTGGGCTCTGGGTACATGTGCACTGCAGGATTGTTGCATAGGTATATACATGCCATGGCAGTTTGCTGTCTCCATCCCCCCGTGCCTCCACCCCGTCGCCTGCATCACGCATTTCTCCCAATGCTATCCCTCCCAATCCTCCTCAATCCCTAGCTGTCCCTCCCCTCCCTTTCCCGACCTAGCCCAGTGAGTGTTGTTCTCTTCCCTGTGCTCAAGTGTTCTCACTGTTCATCATCTGCCTATGAGTGAAGAAAACATTTGGGAAAGTTTGCATTTTCTAAAGAGTTTCTAGTGGGTGCTATTGCTGCTAATCCATGGACATTTGACATAGAAGAGCATAGAACATAGAGAGCTGCTGAGAAGGAAGAGTTTGTGGCCTTTAAGCAATTTTTTAAAAATGGAAGAGAAAACAAGGAAAAGGAATAAACAGCTAGCAGTCAGAAGAGACATGAGCACTCTTTAAAACAACTGATCAATGTTAGTCCTTTTATTTACCAACTATATTTACTTAATAAATGCTTACTGTATTTAGTGGTTAATTATATCTTTTAATTATCCTTCAGTGTATTTCTTAATGAGCACAATTACAGCTCTTGAAAAATCAGTTTTGTCATAAAGAATTCTTGCTCACGTTCATTGTATCCATTTAGTACTTTCTAGAGAAGTGTGAAAGCTAAACACATAGTAAAGAAGCCTTTGTTTACATTTACAGTGACTTACCTGGTTGTTCACATTTATTGCTTTCTCAATCCAGCTTTTCTGTGTCACAGCAGAACCATCTCCAGCTAGGCAGCTGGTGAATATTGCATATATAGCTCCCAGGGGGAATGAAGCAGGTGAGGAAACTGAAAAGTGAGTGGTTAGCTGGCAAAAGGAAAAGGCAGTTCTTGGCTCAGATGCAGAAGTTATTTGAACATAAGCACTTATTCTATAAGTATTCTTTGGTGGAAATGGTTGCCACCTGCCCCTATTCCCAGGGGCTTTTTTTTTTTTCTGCTGCCTAATCATCTTAGAGTTCACAAGGCTATTAATGTCTGTAATATCAAGAATCTGGAGACATGCCCTTGCTGTCCAGATGGTGGCTTATGGACATCAAGTACAGTACATTTAGACTGGCAGAGTTCCCTGCTTAGTAGTCAGGGCTCCATATTCTTTTGCTGCTGTTCAGTGGCACCTGCCCCAGATATAATGAGATCAGCACATCCTATAAACACCTGAAAGGTCTGTGTATAAAAATGTCACGTTGGATTTAGTTTTAAATAGAATAACATGTTACAAGTAAAATATAAGCATTTTCTATGATGAAAAATGGAATTGATATAATGTGAATAGCCAAAATGTTGAAAATATAATAAAAGTTTACAAAATTTATTTTCCTTCATATTATTGTGTGTGTCTGTGTTTGTCTCTGTGTATCATACTTAATATAACTTAGACATAGTTATATATATGGAGACAATTTATATTTGTGAATTTACATTTATACATATTTTATAATGTTATATAAAATATATATTATACTAGGGTCTTCAGAAAGCTTGTGGAAAAATGGATTTAAAAGATAAAAATCAAAAACATAAAATTTATTTCTCAACCTAAATTCCATCAAGATCAAGATGTTCCCAAACCAAATTGAGGACCAGCTGATACTTCTCACAGCCCAATAACAAGATGCAGATGAAGTGGAGAGGAAGAGTTTTTATTTTCTCCAATTGGTTACAAGGAGAAAGGGCTTGAAGTTAACGCCACACCAAATCAGAATTACAAAGTTTTCAAGAGCTTATATACCTTCTAAGCTATATGTCTACATGTAAGTGTGCATTCATCTAAAGACATAGTGATTAATTTATTTTAAACTATTATTTAAAAAAAGGTCTTAGTCTTAAAGACCTTCCTCTAGAGCTTCAATAAATTTACTTAAATGGATCCCGGTGCTGGGGTGATTACCCTTATCTTGTCTCCTGCTAAATCACAGAGGATTGGGATTCCTTCAGACCCCCCAATAACCTTATTTGTGGAGGCCTGGGGAGTTTCTTCAGACCCCAAGTGAAACTTGCTTAATCCTAAAGGGGTCCTGATAAGAATTTCTTCCTTATTTTGTCATGCTTTAAGGTCAAGGAAAGGCCAGGGCAAAACTCTTGGTAGGCTTTGTTACATCCCAGCCTTTGTATAAGGTCACTGAGTCTATTAGCTTTTCATATTTAACCAGACCATTCAGTCATTGCTGAAACAGTTGTTTCGGAGGCCTGCATTAGTGAGACCTGGAGTTCCACAAAGATACTTCTGCAGGGCATGATCCCAGTCATCGAGTCTATTCCTAAAGAACTGAGGTTCCCTGGAATTTTACCATGTAAATTCTGTTTTTTTATATTATTAACTAAAAAAATGGGTGTCCTTTACAGAGCTTTTAAGATTAGGAAATTTAAAAAATGTCAGAAGGAGCCAAATCAGGACTATATGGCAGATGCCTAATGATTTCCCATGGACACTATCACAAAATTGCATTTCTTGGATGAGAGGCGTGAGTAAGAGCATGGTTCTGGCACGGGATTCTTTGGTGATGGTGTCTTGAGCATTTTTCTCCTAAAGCTTTTCCTAACTTTCTCAAAACATTTTCATAGTAAGCAAACATTATTTATTGGCCTTCTGGAAAATCAACAAGCAAAATTCACCAAAACTGTTGCCATAACCTTTGCTCTTGACTTTTACACTCTTGCTTGGACTGGACCACTTCCATCTCTTGTCATCTATTGCCTTGTCTTCAGGATTGTAATGGTAAAACCTTGTTTCATCTTTTGTTACAATTCTTCAAAGAAATGCTCCAGGGACTTGATCCAATTTGTTAAAAATCTCCTTTGAGAGCTCTGAATCTGATCTGGAAACCACAGTTTTGGCACTAATTGAATGAAAAGTTTGCTTGATTTTAGTTGTTCATTTGGAATTGTGTAATCTGAATTAATTAAGATGTCTATAGTGTCTGTAATCTATTGTTTATGCTAATAGTCAGTCCTCCTTAGTGTGGGCCAAACAAGATGACTTTTTTTCCTTTCAAATGGATGTGGATGATCTGCCCCTGTGGGCTTCATCCTTAGCATTGTCTTATCCCTTGTTAAAATGAGTTATCCATTTTTAAACTGCTAATTTTTGTGGGGAATTGTTCCCATAAAGTTTTCCTAAAACATCAGTGATATTACCATTATTCCACTCAAGCTTCACTATAAATTTGATGTTTGTTCTTGCATCAATTTTAGCAGAATTCATGTTGCTCTGATAAGGACTGTTTTAAAACTGATGCCTGATTTCTCTTAATGGCCCAAACTAGATCCAGTTCTGACGTGTTATAAGAAGCTGGTATAAGTTTATTTTTAGAACAAGAGATTTTAAAATCTATGCATAGTTTTTCTTACTATGCGTTTTCCTTAAGCTTCTTGAAGACATGGTTATTTTTCAGGGAAATAATTATTTTTACAGCGTCTCTATAGTCTTACTGACACATATTTTCTATGAGAGGTTTTACAAATAGTCATTGTCACTGAACTTGTGATATACATACTTCATCTATACATAAGGCAGAATTCTTCAGAGACTTGAAAAGTATGTATTTAAAACAAGAGAGATCAGTTCGTGTAAATGTATACAAGTCTATGTAAGAGATCATTAGGACCTTAATAAGCATCTTGGCTCTGAAATAGGAAGAATGAATAACTATAGATATTGTTTAAATAAATAAAATGTGTTAGTCTATAAATATGAAAGTCTCAAGAAAAAACTGTCCCACAATCTTTTGATCATTATTACTCTACACTGTCTACCCTTCAGCCCTCTGTCCAATAATGTATTATTTTAAACCTTATAAAGTCTTTCAAAAATAAAATGCAACAAAATTAATGTTTCTAGTGGGACTCATTGATGTGTAAGATATTTCATTATCAAAGTCACCAGTCTTGTGTTGTGTATTTCATTCATATATGCATATAAAACTATATTCTGCCACTAACAGTTCTGCATTCAGCATAAAGCAGTGAAACAAATATTAGAGACTGCCAGAAACTAATAGCACTAACAATGTTCTTAACAATTGGAAATACAAATTTTCAATATTGCTCTCAAAATATTGTAGCTATAGAAACGACTAGAGTAAGTTCATATTTATGTTGAATAGAGTTTTTGTTTTTAATATTTGTGAGAATATAGAAGTTATATATATTTATGAGGTAGAGGAGATGTTTTGATATAGATATGCAATATGAAATAAACACATCATGGAAAATGAGGTATATATTTCTTCAAGTATTTATCCTTTGAATTAAAAACAATCCAATTATACTCTAAGTTATTTAAAAATATACAGTTTTTGACAGCAGTAAAACATGTGCACACTTTTACTGACTCCATTCCTTCAATATTGCCTATATCTAAGAAGTGCTAAAGAAATAATTAAATATGATAACACAGTTATGTGATTTGGCAGACTTTTTCATCCTGGTATTTAGGGAGACCTTCAAGATTATGCATGGAAATTAAAAGAAGGTGGATAGTAAAAAAAAAAAAAAAAAAAAGAGAGAGAGAAAACAAAGAGGTACAAACAAATGTAAAGTAAATATACAGAGAAAATGTCAAAGAGAAAGGCAGTTTCTTCCTTTTTATTTTTAAAATACTTCATGAGGTCAAACATATTAGATTTAATGTTTTTAAAAAACAAATAAATTCCATTTAAATGTCTACTGTTTGAAATTTCCAGATGTTCTGGTCTGATCAGTACTTTTCTTATCAGTGATTAAGCCACAAAAAATTTATAGAAAGAGCAGGTGACTGCTCATTAGAGAAATGAAAATCAAAACCACATTGAGGTATCATCTCACACCAGTTAGAATGGCAATCATTAAAAAAATCTGAAGACAACAGTTGCTGGAGAGGATGTGGAGAAATAGGGACACTTTTACACTTTTGGTGAGAGTATAAATTAGTTCAACCATAAAAGTGTGGTGATTCCTCAAAGACCTAGAAATAGAAATACCATTTGACCCAGCAATCCCATTACTAGGTATATACCCAAAGGATTATAAATTGTTCTATTATAAAGACACATGCACATGTATGTTCATCATGGCATGGTGTTCAATAGCAAAGACCTTCAACCAATCCAAATGCCTGTAGATGATAGACTAGACAAGGAAAATGTGGCACATATACACCATGAAATACTATGCAGTCATAAAAAAGGATGAGTTCGTGTCTTTTGTAGGACATGGATGAATCTGGAAACCATCATTCTCAGCAAACTGACACAAGAACAGAATATCAAACACTGAACGTTCTCACTCATAGGTGGGTGTTGAACAATGCAAACACATGGACACAGGGAGGGGAGCATCACACACTGGGGTCTGTTGTGGGGACTAGGGGATGGACATCGGGGGATGGGGAGGGTGGGAAGGGATAACATGGGGAGAAATACCAGATATAGGTGTTGGAGAGATGGAGGCAGAAAACCACCTTGCCATGTATGTATCTATAAAACAATCCTGCACGAGTTGCACATGTACTCCAGAATTTAAGTACAAAAAAAAAAAGGTGAAGAGATTAGATACATGAGAAGGTACGAAAATTTGTACGTATGGTGCTTAACACAAAGTAAAATCTTGATATAGCCCAGTAATAACTAAACTTGAGTAACATTTATAAATTCACTATTACCTTACATATTGTACTTCACTTTTAGAAGAAAATTGATCAGAATTATGAAAATATGTGTTTAACATAGAAAAATGGAGGATTTTACCAAATATTTATTGCATAATTTACTGGTTTGGTGTTAAAATACATATTATCTTTTTGGATATAAGAACTACACAATATAAATTGTATGGCAGTAGAGGGTTTTAAACACTTGTGATATTATTCAGCCTTTATATTTATTGTCTCCATGTCATTTCATTAAAATGTAATATTTATCTTACAGCAGATTGTAGAGTAAGGAAAAG